ACAAAAAGGCTACAGTCAGGTCCCCATTATCAGGTAGTACCTAGGGATTATACCGCGGGGTGTTAGGATGCACCCGAGTGATCCAATTGGACTGCAACAGAGACGTCATTCGACCATTTCCAATATGCCATCTTAAACCAACTAATAACAACTGTCTCCCATTAAGGACACTCTGCCATCCCCAAGACGGTCGTAAACACGCAGTAGCACTAAGGAAAGACCCAGAAGGGAAGTAATTCCCTTTATAAACATGTGCAAGGAGAGATTGAGGTACACTAAGGATCCGCCACCCAATTTTAGATAGGAGAGCCTGATTGAAGTGTTCAAACCGGCGAAATCCCATACCCCTATCATACTTACTCCGACACATGTTCCTCCAAGACATCCATCGAATCCTAGATTGTCCCTCTGCTAGACCCCACCAGAATCTGACCACATATTTATCTAGGAGCCGAAAAAGGGACAAAGGTAGCTTAAAACATGACATAACGTGTAAAGGCAAGGTTAAAGCAATTGATTCAATCAAAGTCTCCTTTGCCGCACAAGACAATGACCTTTGCTTCCAGCCCTGGAGTCGCTCCAACAATTTCTCTTCCAAGTAGCGGACGTGGCCATTTTAGATCAGGCTATCAGCGAGGGTAGCCCCAGATATTTATCTTGGACCCCCACACCCAAAATCTGGGCCAGGAAATCGTGATCGGGTAGCGTAATGTTTTTACTAAAGCAAACTGCTAATTTGCCAAGTTCACTTGCTGGCCACTGAGTTCCTCATATTCATTTAAAACCTCGATCAAATTCTCACATTCCTGGATAGAACCTCAAAGGAATAAGTAAGAATCATCGGCAAAAAAACAAGTGCGAGATCCTGGGAGCTCTAGGGGCCACTTTAATTCCCTCTAATTTCCCCTCAGCTATAGCTTTGTGGAGAAGTGTCGCAAACCCTTCCGTACAAAGCATAAACAGGAGCGGAGATAAGGGATCCCCCTGTCGGAGACCTCGAGTGGGAGAGAAGAAACCCGAGGGGATGTCATTCATGAGGACCAAAAAGGACGTTGATCTTAGGCATTCCTGAATCCATCCACGCCAAATGGAGTTAAAACCCATCTTGTCCAAAATAGCTAGGAGAAAGGGCCACTCGACTCTATCATAGGCCTTTTCAATGTCAACCTTTAGAGGCATAAACCCTTTCTTACCTTTTGTCTTGATTTTCAAGTAATGCATCAACTCATGGCCAAGGAGGATATTCTCAACAATTTTCCTCTCCTGTATGAAAGCATTCTGGCCTTTCGAGATGATCTGTGGTAGGAAGCAGGCAAGTCTTTCAACCATTATCTTTGTTATAACTTTATACACGAATTAGCAAAGGCTAATTGGTCTGAGTTGTTTCATGGTCTCCACATTCTCCACTTTGGGGATCAATGTAAGTCATGTATGATTAAAACTGCACAGCATCCTACTCATTGAAAAGAACGAGCAAACCGCTTCAATCACATAATCGTCGACAATATTTTAGAAAGCTTTTAAAATATTTCAATAAAGCTATCAGACACTGGAGCTTGTTTAGATACCATGGAGAAGACTGTTTTCATCACTTCACTAGGATGGACTTCCACCATAAGATTTGCATTCATTTATTTTGTCACACTATAGGCAATGGGAAGGGGTGCAACCGAGCAGTCATGTTTAGAACGGGGAATTCCGAAGTGAAAAGATGTTGATATAATGTGGCATTAATTTCTTCTGTCGCACTACAGAGATGCTTAATCATGTTAGTTAGTAGACAGATAAACCATTGTTTGGCTTTACTTGATACTGATTTCAACTAAAACATACTCTAATTGAGACCACCGGCCCCACCAAATGCATAAACATGCATCTTGATTGCTTAAACCTACAATAGTGAAACATTAAATTGAATATTCCTCCTTCAAACAGAATAAATCAATTAAGCGATGTTATCGTAACACACACGCCGCCAATGGCATCATCCATCCCGCCGGCCACCAGCTGCACCCACGAAGAATGCAACAGCTGGTCGAAACGAAACACACGCATGCAACACATTTAATTGAAAAAATTATACAATGAAACTATATATACTAGTGAATACATGGAGATAGTTTAGCATATGTCATCCAACATTAGACTCATAATTTGATATTGGCCAACAAATTCTTTTGGTTAGAATGGTATGTTGTGAGAATTGTGGGAATTGAATTTGAACGTATAACAATATTTGACAAATTATCAAATAGGAAATGAAAAAATTATAGATTTAATATTGTTTTCCTGAGAACCAGAACTAATATACGAGAGAAATATAACTCTCCAAGTCAGTCTTATTCTTCTTAAATGTCTATAAAGAGGTTATAGTGATAATATATATAGTAATTTTTATCATACCTAGGGTAAATCTACATGTATCACATACCTTAATGAGAAAACGGTATCTATACTTTGAATTAACCAGATTTTGAAGCACGATACTATATACTGTAACCCTTAATGAGTAAATTCTAGGTCCTAATTCTCTAAACTGTGACCCATAAACCCTAAGTTTGTGCATCTAGTATGTTGGATGTATTCCAACTAAACATCGTCAATTATTGTTTTTGATTAAATTTAAATTGATCTTAGGTATAGGACTCAAAGAATTAGGACATATGTTTTACTCTTTTAAAATTGTGTGTAATACACGGCCAAACTACTATTAATTCAATATATATATATATGGCAAAGGCTAACATACACCTGGCATATGTCGTATATCTATGTTCACACTTATTTATTTAATTATTATTCTTAAATTAATTTTATAATTAATTTATTGTTAATCATAATTACAACGAACTCCATTAATTTATTTTTCTATTCACTATACACCCATAACATTTCGTTTCATTCATTATGTTTAAATCATCATCTAAATGTCATTATATGAATTATAGTGCCTGCTTTCATCAATTTAGATTTAGAACGCCCAAACTATTTTAAGTCCAATTGAGGTATCGTTTGTGTTCTTTTCAAGTCTATTTGCCTGGTTTTCAATGGAGGCGCCGTCGTGCTGTGTTGAGGAGGGATTTCATGAAGAGAGCCCTCGTCTTGAAGACCTGCTGTCGTTGGGTGAGATCTGGAAACAACAATTTCACTCGTGTTGCTGTCTGGTCGAGGAGCGAGGGAGAGGAAGCCAACTGTGTTCGATCCTCTGAGTTTCTCATTCCGGCGCAATCTCGATCGCCTGTTTCGAACCCGGCCTTTTGAGGAGGGATTTTGTGGATTTCGTTCTTCTAAGGCGAGGGAGATGAAGCGCCTATTTTTGGTTCTCTGGGTTTTGTCACTCCAGCGCAGTCCTGATCCCCTATTTCGATCCCGACGACTTGAGGAGGGATTGTGTAGATCCCAATCGTATGCGGTGATGGAGATGAAGCATAAGTTTCGGTCCTCTGGGTTTTTCCTTCCGCTAATCTTTGATTTCCCCCTTCTCGTTTCTCGTACTGTTACCATGGAGATTTCCCCATGGATTTTGCGGATGTTTCAATCGAAGCAAGTTTCGTGCTTCATAGGTTGGAAGGTTTGAATTTTGGTTTCTATGTATTGTTGGTCAAGGGGAAAGAGAGGTTGATGGGTTCCGCATTACTTTTCCCCTGCTATTGTAAACTCCAGGTTCTGGATTCGTTGGGAATTGAGGTTCTGTGTTGTGCGAAAAATTTGTTATTGTTGGTTTCGTTCAATTCTCTATTTGCTAATTTGTCTACAATTAGCCCAAGGACAAGAGATGAATGAGACAAAACGACAGATGATGTTGCTTTGTGAATTGTAATCGCAGGAGCAATGGAGTTGTAAATAATCTTAAAGTTTGACTGTTCTAAATTGATGGTTTGGAGAAAAGGGCACTATGATTTATTTAATTGCTAGTTAAATGCTTGATTTGAGTGTAATGTATGATAGAAACTGATATGGGGCTAAAATGTATACAACAAATTATTAATGGGTTTGATTGTAATTTATAATTAATAATTAAATTGATTATAATTACATCAAAATAATTAATAATTTATTTATAGGTGTGAATACAGGTGTATAGCGTACGCCTGCCTGAACCATATATATATATATATATATATATATATAGTATTTTCTTACCGAGGTTATATAGAACCCTCATAATTAACTTAGGTACATGGTCTATATAGTAACATACCCCAAACTCTTGTTAGTACATGGTCTATATAGAATCCTCTCACCAGGATCACTAGCAGTACCGTATACCACATAAATGTAAAATACGTAAAACGTAATACGTAAAACATCAGTGGCTATAATAATATTACCTAACGATACCTACACATCATATTTCACCATTCACCCTAAAATTGATGTTTGGTCTGCAACGTGAATTTGGATAATAGGTACTAATACCGACTAAACGCCATTGTCTTGCGAAAATATTGTCCGTCTAATCTTTAGTCGTGAGATAACTGACATTGATAGTTCCTTCAACCACTAACTACCTAATATAATAAACATGCAACTCGATATGGTTTGTCAAACCGTGCAATCAATATGTACTGCATTCATATATATATTATCTCCATAAATGTGCATTGACACTAAAAAATGGCATTGATCCTTGAGTATCCTTACAACCTAAATAGCCCTTAGCAAAAACTTCAATTATCGACGCTCCTACGAAAGTTAGCTAAATGTATGGTCTATGATACTCCGATATACTGGATCACAACCTTAATCGTGATAAGGATTAGTATCGGGATTACTCCCTTCTGATTATCCCATGTATATCCCTTGTATATCTACTGTCATTATCTTCATATTTAGCTCATGAATTATACCTCTCTACTACTACTATTTATACCTAATGGAAAACCTACGCCAAGGTGTGGGCAATTACCCAAATCTACATGGTATTAGAGCAACTCTCTACTTAACCGCAAAATCGCTTTTTTCTTTCTTTCTTTGTTCTTTTTCCCCCCAGGGACAAGATGTCTCTCAACTCCAACATCCCCTCTGCTGCACCACCTTCAACTCCGTCGGTGCTTCCCCAACCACCCAACAAGGTGCCTCTCAAGCTCACCAAAACCAACTATGTCTTATGGAAGCTGCAGTTTGAGCCCTTCCTCAACGGCTATGACCTCTCTCATCACGTGGATGGATCTTCGTCTGCTCCACCAACAACCCTCTCTTCCGGCGAGCCCAATCTAGTCTATCATTGTTGGCGCCGTGAAGATAAGTTGGTTCTTGGCTAAATCATTCACTCTCTCACGAAGCCCCTTCTTCATCACATGGTTGGTGCTAGCACCGCCTGTGAAGCCTGGAGTCGCCTCGGTCCTACTTACTCCATAGGATCTGAAGCTTAGATTCGCGCCCTCCGCACCCAGATTTTGAATCTACGGCAGCACGACAACAAAATTGTCATCAATCTTCAGCGTGCCAAATCTACTGCTGACCAATTACATTTGTTTAGTTCTCTTATTGCAGATGTTGACTTTATCAATCTGGTTCTTGTGGCTTACCAGTGGCCTACTGCCCGTTTCTCTAGTCAGTTTGCAATCGCCAACAACATATGTCTTTTGAGGAGCTTCGAGGTCTCCTCCTTGCTGAAGAAATCGACCTCGCCCAGGATAATCAGGTCTCCTCCGGCGTTGAGGCTAATTTCGCTCACTCTGGCCATGGCCGTGGATGCGGCCGTGGTTGTGGGGGGCGTTCTTCCTCTCACATGTGAGCTGGGAACGAGAGTGATGGCACAAGCAGGCATCACACCGGGCCTGGCGGCGGCGGCAGTTTTGCTCCTCTCTTTTGCCACAATTGCGGTAGGGCGGGTCACCTTGCTCGGGCCGGACCGTCTCCCCTCAACACCCTTTCCCACCGCAACTCTCCTCAAGCCCACTTTGCTAGTTCCCCAAATCACAACCCCAGCTCCTGGACCTTATACTCTGGTGCTAATCATCACCTTACCCATGACCTCGACAACCTAGCCCTCCATAGCGAATATCAAGGAACCGATCAAGTTCATCTCAATGATGGTAATTTCGTTCCCATATCTCGACCTGGTTCTACCGTTGTTGTTGTCAATTCTTCTCCTTTAGTGTTTGATAACATGTTGTTTGTTCCCCGTTCTTGTCAAAACCTTTTTTCCATAAGTTCTCTCACTCGTGATAATAATATTTCTGTCATGTTTCTTCATAACCTTGTTCTAATTCATGATTTGACGACAAGAAAGCTCCTCTTCCAAGGTCGGAGTAGGAATGGCTTGTACTTGATTCCTCTCTCCATCTTTCGTCCTGCTCCTCTTCGTCCCAAAGCTCATTTACATGGTCTTTCCTTATGGCATCAACGGCTTGGTCATACACACGTTCAGGATGTCAAAAGTGTGCTTAGGTGTCAAAACATTTTCTTTTCCAATAAACGCTTGCCCAATCTTTGTTCTGGCTGTTGTTTGGGCAAGCTACATAAGCTTCCCTTTCTAGTGTCGGATACCACAGTTCCCGGTCCACTAGACTTGGTTTGAAGTGATGTTTGGGGACCTTCTCCCTTATTTTCCGTGGATCATAATCTCTATTACATATTATTATACGATCATTATAGCAAGTATTCATGGCTTTGCTTTGTGTGGTCCCGTTCTGAATTACTTAGCAAATTCAGTACATTTCATCATGTGGTTGGGAAATTTTTCCAGCGACCCATCAAGTCCTTCCAAGCTGATTGGGGCGGCGAGTACCAATCTCTTTCCATATACCTTGCCGTAAATGGAATCACAGAATGGACCTCATGTCTTTGTACCCCCTTAGCATAATGGGTGTGCCGAACACAAGCACTGCCATATCACGAAAACTTGTTGTTCCCTCATTCACCATTTCGGTGTTCCAACCAAATACTGGACATATGCTTTCTCTACGAAGACTTATCTCATTAATAGAGTGTCGGCTATACCTATTTCTTTTGATACCCCCTATCATCGTTTGTTTTGGGACTCTCAGTCCTATGATTCTCTTCGCCTTTTTGGATGCTTATGTTTTCCATAGTTTTGCCCTTATGCCAAAAATAAGTTGGCTCTACCATTCTGCTTCCTCTGTCTATCTTGGTTATAGCTCTCAACACAAGGCTCTCCTCACTAACCAAACGTGGGACTTGGTTCCCTTCCCGCCTGATCCCCATTGCATCGTCGGCAACAAGTGGGTCTACAACATCAAACAAAATCCCGATGGCTCCGTCTCATGCCATCGAGCCCGACTGGTCGCCAAAGGTTTTCATTAAACTGTTGGTGTCGACTACCATGAAACGTTCAGCCCGGTCATCAAAACTGCCTCCGTTTGGTTGTTACTCTCTCTTGTCGTCACCCGCAACTGGCTGATTCATCAGTTAGACGTCTCAAACGCCTTCCTCCATGGCCTCCTTCAGTAGACAGTATACATGGCTCAAACCCCGGTATTTTTTTTATCCTAAATGACCTAACCATGTCTCTGCCTTCTTCGGAAATCCTTGTATGGCCTCAAACAAGCACCCCAAGCGTGGTTCTCGTGCTCGTAGGCTACACTTCTTCGCTACGGGGTTTCTAGCTCCAAAACAGATCACTCACTCTTCTATCTCCATCGCGGCCAATTGCTTCTCTTTGTCATGGTCTATGTTGATGATATTCTCGTCACAGGTTTAGATTCTACTGCTATCACTGCCCTACTTCTTGGGAGTCGAAGCTACTCGCACTAGTGTCGGACTCCACCTCTGCCAAACCAAGTAAATCAATGATATCCTTCATCTTGCTGGTATGCATGAATGTAAGCCATGCTCCACTCCAGCCACTGGACCCCGGCCCTCCTCCCCGGACTCTCTCTGACTGGTTGGCAGCTTACAATATCTCTCAATTACTCGACAAGACATGGCCTACACCATCACTCGCCTCGCTCAATTCATGCATGAGCCACGTGACACCCATTGGAATCTTCTCAAACAGGCTTTGCGTTATCTTAAATGCACCTCTCACCTTGGCATCCATATCTCGACAGCTCCTTCCCATCACCTCTCTAGCTATACCGAACACTCTTCGAATCGGCTCTAACCTTAGGGTCAGAACCTAGATATGGTTTGCGGTTAAGAGATTCGGGTTCGGGAGTATGGTTACGTGTGGGGAAGTGAAATCACACCCCACAACGCCCTAAATCGGTACTACTTAAGTCGATAAGTTTTTATATGAGTTGAGTGTAGTTTTAGTAATAATTTTGTAATTTTATGGTCCCACTGGACCATTAAATAATTTGATCGTATTAGTTTAAGATTTAATTATATACCCAGTGACGAAAAATTTTAAAGATAAAGGTTTTTAATTAGTTGGACTCGAACCTTTCGGCTGCCTACGTACCCGTAATACGGGATCAAAGTCCACGTAGTTTGTTAGAACTTTGATGATTTAATTGTATGACTTTTTGTCATGTTACACCTATATAGGTTTTCATATTAAGGGTTTTGTTAACTTTGATAGTTTTAATCCTAGCTTTTATCATGTTCCACTGAACATTATTCTCGCATTATAATTTTGTTAATAAAATTTCAATTAGATTATTATGATGTTACTAAAATGAATGCAAGAATTTTAATTATTAAGAAGAAACTTGATGTATTAGAAAAGAAGCAAACTAACTTAATCTGCATTCAACATTTTTGTATTAAGGATTTTAAACGAATAAAACTAAACAGGATGAATAAATTTATGTATGATGGGCTAGCAGCCCAACTGGCTAAATCGCCAGCCGTATAGCGCGTTCGATCGCGAGGACAAGGGTTAGAAACCCTATCGCCACCATTTATTTGATTTCTCGTTTTATTTCAAAGAAGAGGGAAGGGTAGTTTTGTAATTATTCCAGAACACGGTGGCAGGGGTGCGTAATTAGAACGAAACCCTAAGGACAAAACGGTCATTAGGGCTTGAGGGGAATATATAGTCTACACAAAAAAAATACTATACAAACTAGACCCACAACCAAGAGTGGTTGCTGCTCTCGCATCTCTCTTCTCTCAATCCACTCTCCCTCGTCTCTCTTCCACCAGAGACCGAAAAAAACAAAACCCTAAGCAAAGCGCCGCCCTCTCCTCTCCTCTCCTCTCTCTCTCTCGCTTTTTTCCCCCGCCGTTCTTCCTCTCGTTCTCTCTCGTTCTCGCTTCCTCCTCTGAGACGAGCAGAAAGGAGAAGAAATTCTAAACACCACAAATCTCTTCTTCTCTCCTTCTCTCAATCTGCTCTCTCCCTCTCGGATCCGTCCACCTCCTTCTCTCCTGATTTTGGAAGCAACGAAAAAAAATAGAAACGAGAGGAGGTGGCGCTGACGGCGACGGTTGAGGAGAATAACGCCATGACAAGGCAAGAGGGCATCGATCCGGGTAAGAAGATCGGTACATGCATGATTATTTCTAGGTTTGATTTTGTCTTTTTGTGAAGTTTTGGTTTCTGATTTATTTTTGTTTGCTTTTTCTTAGGGCTCGGACGAGGAATGGAGAGGGACAATTGATAATCGGCTTTAACATATTGAATTTTTGAACTTTATGTGACTATCCTATGATCTGTTTAAGCCGATTGGTGCTAATTTAGTGCTCGCTAACCCGGAAATGGTTGAAAAACCATTATTGCCTAGTGCCATGAGTTTGATATGTTACAGGTGGAAAAAGTACGAAAAAGAAGCGAATGCACAACAAGTAATTGGGCCAAAGCCCAAATTGATGGGACTTTGAATTAGCAGCTCGGTGGCTCGGGCATCTCATTAGAAGCTCCTTATAGCGCTCCCATGCCTCGGTCAGACTTTCATCCTCAGCTTGTTTAAAAGTGACAATTTCCTCTTGCCTCTTCATTGCCTTGGCAGGAGGAAAGTACTTATCCAAAAAGATCTTCTCAAGCTGACCCCATGTTGTGATGGAACGGGGTGTCAAGTTCTGGAACCAGTGTGATGCATTCCCAAGCAGAGAAAATGAGAACATCCGAAGACGGATGGCATCATCAGACACAGCCGGGCTCTTCATTGTGTCACAAATGTTTGCAAACCGGCGGAGATGTTCATGAGGATCCTCGGTGCTGGCCCCTGAGAAGGTGTACCCATAAGTGATCATATTGATGAAGGCTGGGGCAATCTCCATGTTTTCATCCCCAGCCGGAATGACAACACATGAAGCTCGGGTTCCAGTCCTCCGATTCAGACGAGCCCTGATCGACCGATCCTGTTCCGCCATGATGACAGGCTCGATGACGCGCGACGGTGGTGTAGGTGGTGTAGGGATGACAGGCGGTGTCACCTGCCTTCTTGGTTGACGATTCTGAGTTAGGGAAGGCCTAGGAGTTGTGGATGGCTGCTTCCCTAACTTGACCTGCTTCCTGTTCTGTCGGCAGGTCTTCTCGATCTCCGGGTCTAGTGGCAGTAAATTGCCAGTCGTCCTCCTAGGCATGCACGAGGAGGATAAACCTGAAAATTCTTCTGCACACTAACACCCAGATCAAAATAGTTCACTCACAAAAATCAACAAAAATAAGGTATGGCAGTCCCCGGCAACGGCGCCAAAAACTTGATAGGGCAAAAGCGTATATGCCAATTTCCTATCTTGTAGTAATACCGGAAATCCGGGTATCGTCTCTCAAGGACTGGTACAACCTTATGATTTATCAATTCTTTCGAGCAAACTATATGTGAAAATGTTTAAGAGATGAAATTATTAACTAAAAGCAAAATTAACTAAACAAATTAAGCAAGTGAAAACTGTCGGGTTTAACTCAATGGGAGAAAGCTCTGGGAGAAACACCGGGATTCACTACCTATCCTATCCAGATTAATTCACAGATTCCAATCAATTTAATCCATACCTCTACAGCCAGAATATCACGAATGTGCTAGCTATCCCTGTCGGGAATTACTACGTACTAAACAATTAATTCAAATCCTACTGTCGTAGCTCAATGAATTAACTATTTAGCCTGAAGAACGATATCCTATTTAAGACCGCATAGCACCTTATTTAATCCACTGTCGCTTCGATAAGTTACTATGTCACATGAAATAGGTTCAGTTATTAGGGTTTCACTGTCGCTAATAACCTAATTAACTACGATTCATTGTATTGGTGGCCAGTCAACACAAAGCATTAAGCAATTTCATGCAATAGAGATTGGAAGAAAAGAATCATAAATCAATCCATCAAATCAAGAACTAGCTACATCCTATGGTGTTTCCCCCAGAAATTAGGGTTTAGTTCATGACGAAATTAAGATAAATCGATAGGATTTTGTTCATCATGTTCTAAATCAACAATAAACAACTAATTCGGTTCAGAAAATCCAACCAAATAATCGCTCTCGTTGAACTCAGCTCTAGCCGCTTGGAAAAAACTGCTCGTTACTCGATACGCTCTCTGCTGCGCCCTGCTGCCTTTCTCCGCTGCTTTCTTTCTTTCTCCCCCACTGATGCGCCTCTTTTCTTCTTTTTTCCAAGAGAATTTCGTTCCCCCCTGGTCAAGTAAAGTGCCGCCCGGTTCCAATTGTCTCCACCAAAGAGATTCCGCCTCCAAAATTGGCTGTGTCCAATTCTTCCACCCTTTTGTTCCGCCGCCCAGCAAGGAGAAGAGTCCCATGGACTTTGGCCCACTTCTTCCTTCCATTATTCCATTCCCTCAAGACTTCCGCCGAGCTGCTAATTCAAAGTCCCATCAATTTGGGCTTTGGCCCAATTACTTGTTGTGCATTCGCTTCTTTTTCGTACTTTTTCCACCTGTAACATATCAAACTCATGGCACTAGGCAATAATGGTTTTTCAACCATTTCCGGGTTAGCGAGCACTAAATTAGCACCAATCGGCTTAAACAGATCATAGGATAGTCACATAAAGTTCAAAAATTCAATATGTTAAAGCCGATTATCACAATCATTGCTCGGGAGGGTATGCTGGATACCTTTCCATACCCATTGGTTGAAAGCTCCATGAACGTCAGGCTGAGGACGTTAAACAAGCGCTTCTTGGGAGGCAACCCAAGGTAAGTTTTCTTTTCTTTTCTTTATTTTTCTTTTTAGTTGTGTCAAACCCGTGCATGTTTAGATTAGGAGTTGAACATTAGGGACAATGTTCCATCCTGAGTGTGGGGTGGTGAGTCTTAGTGTTGTTTGTCCCTGTTGCATGTGGTAAAAAAAAAAAAAAATCCAAAAATCCAAAAAAAAAAAAAAAATTTGTTTGTTCCTTTTTTCATGTGGTCGGTAAAAAAAAAAACAAAAAAAATTGCCATTAGGTTGAGCACAGCCAAACTGCATGCAGTTTGCCTGTGTAAAAAGCAGTCTGCCTGTGTAAAAAGCATGCTGCCTGTGTTAATCTAATGGCTAAAAAACACCTAAAAATCAAAAAAATTAAAAACAAAACCTTGTACTCTTGTGGTAGCATGATGTAAATGACTGTGATGCGTGTGAAATGAGTTTGTGCTTGAATGAAATCATCAAAATCACCCCACTAGTGTTGAATTGGATAGTTACTCACAATGAGCTTGAATGTTTTGGCTGACTTGATGTGCTTTGAATTAGCAAACTCTTTTAGCAACATTCTCTTTTGTGAGGATAGTGTAATGACTTTTGGTGAAGTAGTTAGGTGGAGAACATTGACCATTCGACATGTTTGGATGCTGTGCTTACTTGCATCAATTGTGAGCTTTTGATTTTGCAACGAGTCTCTCTGTTTTGATGGTTTTATGATGGGGTGAACTGTATCTTCAAAAAAAAGAAAACACTACCTGACAAGTAAAATATAAGAAAGTTGCCATAACAATTAAAGTGTGGGTAAAAATGCCAAAAAAACGTGTGAGGCAATCATTCATTGCACATGGGGATGAGGAAAGATTCAATTGAGAATCGGTTCGCGACCGTACGATGTTGCTTATCAAGTACGATCCCCAGTTGAGTGAAGTGCCATTTGAGGAGCAATGACCCTCCACACAGACCGAGGAAAAGGAGTTGAAAGAAGCCCTTATGCGGGTGCTAAGAAGCAGAAATTGCTCTTGCTCGGTCACAGGTAGTAAGAAACAAATCCCACTTGTACTAAATACGACTTCTCGGCAAGCAAAAGCAGAAAGAGAGAAAGCCTCTCCTTGTCATAAAAGGTAGTGATGTGCTTAAAGTAAGATCATGTTTGCGAAAGGCTTCCCCCATTTTTTTTTTAAACTCATGCTTAGTTAACTGCTTATGATTGGTGTGAGTAAGCCAGATTGTCCTCACGAGATGTGCACCTCACTGATGTGGTTAGATTCTCCTAATAATTTCTGCACCATAAGTTGTTAATCACCCGCTACTGACGATCGAAATTGAGTGTTGCTATTTGAGTTTTTGATGGATTTGAGTCAGTCAATGGTAATGGTTGCAAAGAACTTGAGTGTGGAGTGAAAGGTATGACCATTAAAGCACAACTTGTTCGTTGAGAAAGAAACTACTGATTACAACAAGAGTACAAGGAAATTTTGTGTTTTGCTTTGAGTGTTGAGTCTGTAATGTGTCATTGTTTTGGATGATTATGTCTTTTTGTTGTTTGAGTCGTTGCTTAGGGACAAGCAACAATTGAGTGTGGGGTTGTGATAATCGGCTTTAACATATTGAATTTTTGAACTTTATGTGACTATCCTATGATCTGTTTAAGCCGATTGGTGCTAATTTAGTGCTCGCTAACCCGGAAATGGTTGAAAAACCATTATTGCCTAGTGCCATGAGTTTGATATGTTACAGGTGGAAAAAGTACGAAAAAGAAGCGAATGCACAACAAGTAATTGGGCCAAAGCCCAAATTGATGGGACTTTGAATTAGCAGCTCGGCGGAAGTCTTGAGGGAATGGAATAATGGAAGGAAGAAGTGGGCCAAAGTCCATGGGACTCTTCTCCTTGCTGGGCGGCGGAACAAAGGGTGGAAGAATTGGACACAGCCAATTTTGGAGGCGGAATCTCTTTGGTGGAGACAATTGGAACCGGGCGGCACTTTACTTGACCAGGGGGGAACGAAATTCTCTTGGAAAAAAGAAGAAAAGAGGCGCATCAGTGGGGGAGAAAGAAAGAAAGCAGCGGAGAAAGGCAGCAGGGCGCAGCAGAGAGCGTATCGAGCAACGAGCAGTTTTTTCCAAGCGGCTAGAGCTGAGTTCAACGAGAGCGATTATTTGGTTGGATTTTCTGAACCGAATTAGTTGTTTATTGTTGATTTAGAACATGATGAACAAAATCCTATCGATTTATCTTAATTTCGTCATGAACTAAACCCTAATTTCTGGGGGAAACACCATAGGATGTAGCTAGTTCTTGATTTGATGGATTGATTTATGATTCTTTTCTTCCAATCTCTATTGCATGAAATTGCTTAATGCTTTGTGTTGACTGGCCACCAATACAATGAATCGTAGTTAATTAGGTTATTAGCGACAGTGAAACCCTAATAACTGAACCTATTTCATGTGACATAGTAACTTATCGAAGCGACAGTGGATTAAAAGGATATCGTTCTTCAGGCTAAATAGTTAATTCATTGAGCTACGACAGTAGGATTTGAATTAATTGTTTAGTACGTAGTAATTCCCGACAGGGATAGCTAGCACATTCGTGATATTCTGGCTGTAGAGGTATGGATTAAATTGATTGGAATCTGTGAATTAATCTGGATAGGATAGGTAGTGAATCCCGGTGTTTCTCCCAGAGCTTTCTCCCATTGAGTTAAACCCGACAGTTTTCACTTGCTTAATTTGTTTAGTTAATTTTGCTTTTAGTTAATAATTTCATCTCTTAAGCATTTTCACATATAGTTTGCTCGAAAGAATTGATAAATCATAAGGTTGTACCAGTCCCTGAGAGACGATACCGGAAATTGGCATATACGCTTTTGCCCTATCAACAATCGTCAGATGAGGCCGCATCGCCGCCGGCTACAGGAACGCCAACGACAGCAAGGTAAGTTTTTTATTATTTCTTTCCTTTTTCAATTTTCGTTTGCTTCAATTTGGATTGGTTCTGGCCCTTCTTTATCTTTTCAGATTTGAAGAGAGATCAGATCTGGGTAAGATATTGATTTGCATGTGTGTTTTATTTTATTTTTTTATTTAGGACTGGGATACTAACGTTTTATTTCTGGGTTTTGGGAGTCAAATCTGGTAACCGTGGACGATGGAGACGTTGGCATATGATGTTCTGTCTGCAGCGACTGAAGGTTATGGTGAGGTTTTTTATTTAATAATCTCTTAATTTTTCGTTTATGATTTTCTTAATTTATTTTATGCAGGGCTTGAGGAAGACGATCTAGGTGAGGTTCTCCAAACCTGACTCTTTATGGTTAGGGAGATCGAACTAGGAAATAAAAAAGAAACTAATATTTATTTATGGATTTGAAAATGATGTATAGATCTTATTTTTTTAATTAAAAGTCTGAATACGAATTGAATGCTTCTGAAAAGGGCGAATGAATTCGTTTATGAAATCTTATGGATTCGATTATAGCCCTTGATATGCTAGAAATCAGTAAGAAAAGAATTTTATTTGTAGAAAAAGTAATTGACATGCTCAAAGATTCCTAATTTTGATGATT